TAAAATATGATTTCTTGTTACACTACACTACGAATTACGTTTACATAACTTAAATAATTCTAAAGTATTTGACACATGAAAATAATATTAGATTTAGATATTATAAATCGTAGTAAAACAAACACTTATTTTGCTCAGAGAATCCAAAAATGCAATAATATATAGGGTATTTCATTTAGAAAAACACAACTTTGATACTTTGAGGGCTTTTGGGACACTCTGTACATTACAAAAATATTTTTAAAATGTGCACCCGATAGGCGTCTGTGGATTAATCAAATAATACTTTGCAAAAAACAAACGGGCTAGCCGCAAACGTCTGTGCCGTATAGCGTGAATAACCCTGTAGAATGTCGGCCAGCGCCCCTTCCACTTTATCTGAGTTCATTATTCATTTTCCGTCGTACAATAGCAATATTAACGGTTTTACATTACTTACAGCAAGAGGTGGACTTGTGGATGATGATTCCTTAGCCCAAGCGCTGAAACAAGGCCGTATCAGAGCCGCTGCATTAGATGTTCACGAAAATGAACCCTACAACGTATTTACCGGCCCGCTAAAAGACGCCCCCAATGTTCTGTGCACACCTCACGCTGCATTCTATAGTGATGCTAGCGCCACTGAGCTTCGTGAGATGGCGGCCAGCGAAATTAGACGTGCAATTATGGGTCGAATACCTGATTGTCTCAGGAACTGCGTGAATAAGGAATACTTTATGGGACCCGGCCAATATCCAGAAGGTACAGGTAATATTTATTATGATCTTTGCTGTTGTATTAATTGAAGGAGGAATTCCCCAAGGAGGAACAAAATCTGTCAAGTATTAATTATCAATATATTTATCTGATTTGAATCAATAAGAATCAATTATTGTTTAAATAATTCTTCGTTATTTCGGTTTATTGCTTATAAACAGTGCTCAGTCTGTAAACGTAAAGAATGTACAGAAATTACAAATTTAACAAAGTTATTGCATCAATATAGAGAATCAAAAGTAAACAGCTTAGTTTTTTGGTCACCTGCACGCAAATATTCAAGGTGATTCAAAAATGCCTCAAAATTGGCATCATTTCTGCAGGGGTGTTTAGGTAATGCAGGAAAATCAATAATTCTTACAAAAACTTAATTCATAAAATCTATCTATGTGATCATATTTGCCAATAACCCTTTTCTCATTAACATTACGTATATACCTGTTGTTTTATGCATATTGCAACGAAGGTGAACTAAAAGACATAGAAGTTTTACAATCGACCTCTAAATCAGTTGAGAACAATTCGGCTTTTCAATTGAGTTCCCAAAAGAATTATATAAATAAATACTTGCAGTACTTAATGCCTATCTGCTATTAGCCGGTTTACCGGTATTGGACATTGTCTGTAGGTAAATAATAATACGATTGTCTTTTGTAGCTTAGTGATGGTTTAGATGTTTGGTAGTTTAGGGATTAGGGATGTATGAAACGAAAAGCAAAACAAGCAATTTGGTAAGATTCATAATTTTTAAAAGAAATATTTGAAAGATCGCTTTTTGCGTCAATAATTTCGTATAATAATCGTTTACAATTTGCTTATCTATGTCGACACAGTTTTCTGAATCACTTTTCCATTCTTGTCAAGTAATTCCCCGTAACTTCTTAAAAAGAATGAGGTGAATTGTGAGTTTTTAGCTGTTTAAGTCTAGGTGTTTATTTATTTTTTTATAATTTTATTTCTGTTTTAGTGTCTCCGGCGGGTGTAAATGGAGGATATTACCCGGGCGCAGGAACACTTCCTGTGCAGCAAGCGCATTCGACGACAACACATGAGGCGCCCCATACAGTCGCCCCAAGTGTACCGCCACCTGCTCCGCAGCCGACTGCTTCTGTGGGGCCGCAAGTTCAGGTTCCACCCCATGCTCTAGTGAGTACTTCTGACCTTGGCATGTGAGACTGACATGTGGTTTTTCAGTTTTTATTTCCTCGCATATTTAAAGGTTGGTTAGGTTAAGTCTACACGGCACTGAGTTGTGTTGTGTCGCTAATTTTGTCCGTATTTTTTTCCCCAGATGTGGGAAGAAAATTGGGACAAATTCCATGATGTGTAACGGTTGTTGATGTTTGATTTCCAATGTTAATTCTTTGTTTTAGCCGCTAAGTACTCCGGAGAATACAGCGAACCATCTGACTCCAAAACCTGAACCATCGGAGGTCCACTAGCAATAATCTGACGAAAATGGGCTCACCATCGATATTTCGCGAGCAGAATTGATCATGTTTTTATTTTATTTTGGTTGACACTTTATACATATCGGAACGGTTTCAGTATTTAACATCACAACTCACCCTGCTTTCTCACTGTTTCAAACCGACTTCCGCCTGGTTGGAGAAAAATATTTTGATCATGTAAGTATTGATCATGAGTTTCTCTTTGCGTTCGCATAAAATGTATAGTTATGTACTAGCAATGAACGAATTTGAGATCCTCATTTGATAATTGTAATTTTATTATCAAGAGTTCATTGAAGAAAATCCATTCGAACGTTGCTGTATATTTAACGCATTTCTCGTTCAGGCGGGAGTTGGTTTATTTGCCTTTTCACGGTGTTGTGGATCGGCTTTACTTAAGTTTGGCCGGTTCTCAGCTGTTAGTAATTTTTCCATTTTGAGCCACGATGTTTATGTACATATTTGTGTCAGATATGAAGATCGCAACTTTCTCAAAATTCGGCCGGATAGATCCATGTTGTGGATTTATCGAGCGTTCGCTCTTTTCTTAAATCAGCATTTGCGGACGGCATGTCGCGATGTCCTTTTCACTTGTATAAATATCATATTTTATGTTAGTTAAATTTTTTTCTCTGGTAAATATGCGCATTCTTTAATAATGCTTATATATTTTTAAGGGATGTATGTGATCCCACGCTTGACAATGAATGACTTTTGAATGTTATTAAAGAATGTGAAAATTAGTCCTATTTTTAGTGTAATACATTTAATCAAAAAGTTTTAAGGATGTTGAGGAAAAATGATTCAGTTTTCCTCAATAAAATAGAGTAAAATGAAACCATTTTTAAGTTAATTATTAATTATTACATTTTTGCAACTTTTACTTTCTATTCAGTTCGCGCCTTTTTAACACAACAACATTTTGTACCCAGCGATCATAGACTAGCTTTTTTGGCAAAGGACAATTTTCAGTTTTAATTTACGTACAGCTGCACCGCCTGAAAAGTTTTTAAATGGATTTCGGTAGCAACTGTACCAATTTAGAAACACTCAAAATTTGGTGTTATAGTTCGGCTGGGCCCAATTGGCATGTTGCTATTTTGAGATTCAAATAATTAAAATTAATTTCAAAAATCGTATTTTTGCAGTTATTGGTATGTTGAATCTATAAACCGGGGTTTTTTTATGCCATTTTAATAATTTTTGAACAAACGTTGGAATTTTTTCGTAGAACGTTTGTGTTAAAAACATTCAATGGTGTTCACTTATGAATGAAATCTGTCACCAAATCAGATTACGACCAATTTGGTGTTGGGGTTTAACGTCTTTGAAAGAACCAAATGGTTGTTGGTGTCAAAATTATGAGGCATTTTCATCACTGTTTCCGGGATTATTTGGATCTCAAAACAGTTGTAAATATGCTGTCATCATTTGTGACTGTTTGCAATCGGCACGAAACCTGGAAAGTTTAGTTTTCAATAGAAACTTGGTTGATTTTTCACCAGAATAACCCAGTTTTGATTTATAAATTTAGTTAGTGCGGAGAGACTCCGAATCAACCCTGAAACGTATAAAATGTGTATAAAAGAAGTGGACTTAAACATTATTATGGTGAAGTGCAGTTAAATATAATTTTCTTATAATTGTAGGATAAATAGCGGTATTGTGACTAATTGCCGTGATTTCGACGTCGGCCGGTCAGCCCATTGCTCGCCCCTCGAGCGCTTTTTGTATTATTGATTTGTTACATTCCAACCGACACCAACAGACAATTCGAACTATCAGTGAAGGTGCACTATTTGCTCACAGTATATTTTTATATATAAGAAATCGACTTATAAAAAAAGGTAGAAAATGGTTCACCAACTGGTTGAGTTTCACCGCGTAATTTGTTGATTAACGGCGCGCTAGGACGAGCATTGGCCTTGACAGCGGCGACGAGCAGCAAAAATTTGTAGGGCTATTGGACTTCCACAAATTTTGAAATAAATATGTGAAAATACTTCGGTGGTTTTAATTTAGACGGATGCCTTTTTTACTCTGAATATTAGGTTAAGGGACCCTAGGCTAAGTAAATAGAATTGTAGAACGTAATAATTGAGGTGTAAAATTCCTATAATAATAATAAAGTTTAGTTTTTTCTTTAAATGGCTACTTACTCGGACGGGGTGAATTTACAATCAGTTCTTTATGTAACTCAATTTTTGCGGGCCTTTGTCATTTTCAAATTCTTTTTCAAGTTTCATACATTAATTTCTTCATTTTCATCATAGATTGCGCACAATTAAGTCTGGATCAGGACAGCATTGCCAACCCATTAGTACGATTTTCGCTTCATTCACTTATTCTTCCTTGTTGGGCATTTTGTTGCTTTATCTAACTAAATCATTAATTCTACATTGTCCAATCCAGACCAAGATTGGCCTGTTCAAGTGGATGGACTCCCTATCGCTTTGTGCAATTCATAGGAAACTTAGGCGAACCCTTTTTATAGAGAAAAAGCGTTTAATCAGAGACTGCCAAAAATAATGGTTAACGTATGAACCAGCCACTTTTTTGTATGTTTAAACAGAGACCAGGGATTATTGTCTCTGGTTTAAACTTGTATATGTACGTAGGCTTTTCTGTTCGTGAATTTGCACGAATGCATTACTGATTTCAGTAAGCACGTCGTAGTTAGCGTGTGCATAAAAAAGTTGCGCAGCAATAAAGTTAATTTTAGGTACATTTTATAGGGCATAGTCCTTTCTAAGTGCCTAAGTTTCATCATCTTCATGCAATTTTTAAATAATTTTCCAAAATTGCGTTTAGTTGATGAAGTTGTTTTTGCATGCCGACGTTTGGCATTTATTTATTCAGAAATCAGCAAACTAAGCAAAGTGAAAGTTGCATAGAGTTTATAAGGGAAAGTCTCCTTGATAAGTTAATCAGTTCCGATTTTCAGTTTTCATCGGGGAAATTTCAAGAAATTTTTGAATTTGCATGTTTTTTTCTTAAGGAACTTGCACAGGATCGCTTCTGTGTACATTTATAAAGGAAAATCTGTTTTATAAATACAAAAAGTTTCAATTTTGAATCATCTTCAGGATATTTTTCGAATGTCGGGATTGTTTATGCAGGTCAGAGTTTAACAGTTATTTCTTCCAAATGCAGTCAAGTAAAGATTGAAGTTTGTATAAATTTCATTGGGTATAATTTGTTTCATAGGTAGCGAAATATTTTCACGGCTTTTTTAAATGCGCAATAGACTTTTCTGTTGTCCTCAGTTTGGCATTTATTTTTGAAAAAACGAGTAAAGTTGGAGATGCTGTTTCGCAGCTAAAAATGCAGTGTCCCGTAAGCTCATGATCAAAAAGGTACTGCGATATTCTCTGGATCAAAAGAAGACGATCTGACCCAACTTTTCTTAACAAAAAATGTCTGACTTCTCTGCTATTGATGGTCAAAGTTCTTCATAAAATTGACCTTTTTTGAAATATCGGGAGAATGGTACGATGTATTTTGGTGAAACTCGCTGTGAATTCGTAGTTATGTGAGACTCATATCTTGACTAAACAATCGAGTTCAGCCGTTTTGGAAAAGTGGTGAATTCTTCAGTGTCGTGATACAAAAACTACCAGAACTTTTTAGTTGGAGGATGAAATCAACTCTTCTTTTTTCGGTTGATGCACTAATCATTTATTCACAATTTTGTGCTCTTTATAAAATCTTGCAGCATTCATAGCTTTTGCCAAAAAAATATTTCGCTTTCCTTGCCACTTAACAATTTCAATTTAAAAACATAGCATTTTAATGCTATGTTTTATGCTAATATTTTAATATAAGTCAGTATATGGCGCGCGTTGATGCACCATGCGTTTCGTTTCGGGCCTACCCATAGAGTAAGTAAAAATTTAAAATAAGTAAATAATTGTTTTACTTTCTCTATGGGCCTACCTATTGAACTCGTCTTTATCTATGGGTAAGCCTTGCCTTGGACACCGCGGAGTACGTGTGGAAGTGCCATTTGAAGCGAAACGCCGCAGATGTTCTGCGGTGCGATATATGGCGTTTCGGTTGGAGCTGCTAGTTGAGAAGTGGCGGATAGATTTCGCCACAGGACTCCTCTCCTAGTGACAACGTTGATGGAGTTGTGTGATGACGACAGAGAGAGGGAGAGACAGATATGAGCGAGGCCCTGCCTTAGACACCGCGGATAGAGTACATAGAATCCAAGCAGGGTTGCCAGGTCCGAAAATCGAGTTTCGGTAGATAAGATCGACACTTTTCGGTAGAAAATCGGTAGACTCATTTTTCTTTCATCATTAAAGGCTCCATAAAATCGCGCGTTTTTCAAAATTTTTAAACTTACAGGAATATTAAAATAAACATGAGTCAGTAGAGAAGTAAAGATGAAATTGTACTCGTTTTCAGCTTATTTCTCAACTTAGTTTTCATTAGATTAACCTGTGAAAATATCCGTTCAACTTGGCTGATGAGTGAGGTAGAATAAGCAGGTTACAAATAAAATTGGAAACACGAATGTATCAGCTCCATATTTCAATATTTGTACTTGGCTCCAAAACTCTTCAATATTTCCAGAAATTTTTTTAATTTCTTCAACATTTCGCGGCAGACGTCATTCTGTGTCCAGACCTTGTAATTCACTATAATTTATTAAATTTGGAAATATCATTGCAACATCAGAAATATCGGGTTGTAGGGAACCTGATTTCACTATTAAAAGATCCATGAAAGATAATTTTATCATATTTATGATCTATATGGCGGGCTTGATTGCATGAATCTACTTTGATCATGAATGGAAATATGTTATATTATTTTAAGTAATCCACGGAAATTGGCATGGTATCGGTAGATGGTAGGTTTCTTGACAAATCGGTAGGTCTACCGAAAAATAGGTAGACCTGGCATCTCTGATTCGAAGTGCTATTTGAATCGAAACTGAAACTGCATATTTTACGGTGAGATATATGGCGTTTCGGATAGAGCTGCTAATTGAGAAGTGGCGGATAGTACACCACAAGTACATTAACATAACCTATCAGTGGTAGAGCCAGGTAGAGAAAGGAAAGAAGAAGAAGAACAAAGAGAAGGATAACCATAAATAAATAGAAGTAAGCATAACCTTGAAAGTACGTGTTGGTGAAATGGTGAAAACGGATCAGAAATGGAGACTAACCGGTTAGAAACGTTTCTTGAATCATTTTCAAAACATATTGAAGATGTACCAAATTTCCATGACTCCAATGAAGCGTTATACGGTAGTTTAAAGTCAACTTTAAAGGATTTATATGATTTCACTAAAAGCGAAGAAATCGTATGCAATGTGCCTCAAAGTAAAGTTTTAAGTGCCCTGAAAAAGTTGATCGTTGAAAATTTCGATTTGGAGCAGATATGGCAGCAATTGGAACTGCAAAACACGAGTATTGTAGAGCACATGGTTAAAGACATAAGTGCTTTACTCGTTGCAAAAGAGAGATTGGTTTTCAGTTTCTTATCTAAGGAATTAAGTAATGGGCTTAGCACAGACGACGAAAGCAACTCATCTGCTGCAGATGAACCGGAACAGGAAATCATTGAAGATGATAATTCCAATAATGAATCTGCCTCTGATAGTGAAGATGAAGATGATTGTTCACCTCCCCTAAAGAAGTATAAAGAGTCGGTGGTCGATGACGAATTCTTCAAATTAAACGAAATGGAAGAGTTTTTACGTAAGATGAAAACTATAATATTAATGTAGTAACTTAACTTGAAAACGATTCGGTTATAGGAAAAGAAGAAAATCCGCCATCAAAAGTCCCAAACGACTCTGATTCTGAAGAGGAGGATGTCGATTTGTTTGAGAACGATAGTGACGAGGATGAAGAAGGAGAGGATGAAGAAGGAGAGGATGAAGCAAAAACTGCCAGATTTAAAGATTACTTCGTTGATAAAAGACAAGATGAACCCAAGAGGAAGAAAAACAGGTATAGAACAAAATCTAAATTATTACCTAATGAAAAATCAACACAAACCGGTTTAATTTCATAATGAACACCTCAAGAAATGTTTTCCAGATTAATGGACGAATTGGAAGAAGAAAATAGTGGCTCTGAGCAGGATGAACTTGAACCGAATCACTTCAAGTCATCCTTAGAATCGAGGCAAGAGCGCTTAAATCGAAAAATTGAACAGCTTGAAGAACAAGCGATTAGTGACCAGCCCTGGCCATTAAAGGGTGAAATTACTGGGCAAACAAGGCCTCAAAACTCTCTGTTAGAACAGGTTCTGGACTTTGATTTAACATCTAGACCAGCCCCTGTTATCACAGAACAAGCCTCCTTGCAACTGGAAGATATAATAAGGCAAAGAATTAAAGATAATGCTTTTGATAGTATCGAAAAATGTGTCCGACCTATAGACAGGCCGTTTGATTTCAAGAAGAAGTTATTATTGGATCAAGAAAAAAGCAAAGAGTCGTTGGCCAATATACTACAATATATATACACTCAACGACAGTGGAGTGTCAATGTTTGGGGTGGTATTATGGGTGACTTTATACTTGGGCCACATTTCTTTCAGGGGCACATATTTGCATTTTTTGCAAAATGATTTGCCTCAACTTTTGCAGAACATTCCTGCCCATTTAAAGGAAAATATGTGGCTACAACATGACGGTGCTCCTTCACATTTTGCATTAACTGTCAGACACTATCTTAATCGTAAATTTAAATATAGATGGATCGGCCGTGGCGGTCCCGTTTCTTGGCCACATAGGTCGCAAGACTTAACAAAATTGGACTTTTTTCTATGGGGTCACATCAAAAATATGGTATATCAAACTCCTCCGACTACTGCAGAAGATATGAAAGACCGAATAGTAAATGCGTTTAGGAATTTCACAAGCATAGAGATGTTACGAGAAGTACATGCTTATTAAATAAATTTACATTTAATCAGACGTTTGTTTTTTGTTTCCATGGTAACATGTCGGGTACATGTTACATAGCTTAGAAACGGTGCTTCTCAGAACTAGGGCACCTTATAAAAACTGTCGTAAAATGAGACGTTAAATTTGAAATTGAGAAAAAAAATAGGGGGTTCCATTTGAAATAAGCAACTTTTTGAGGTTTAAAAACATGCAAGTTTAGAGGCTAATTGCGCGGTTTAGAAGTATT